CCCAGAGCCAGGCCTGCAGGCCCGGCGTGGGGCAGACGCCAGCCCGGCGTCACGGCTGAGTGGCCTGGGTGAGCCACCCCATCCCTGGGGGCCTCTGACTTCTAAGAGTCGGGGAGAGTAGCCCCTCCTCCTGGGCCTGGTGCAGACGCCGTCGGGCCTGTGCTTCCCTGTCCGGGGCCCGGCAGGTCAAAGGGACAGCTCAGCACCCACCACGGGCCGGTTCACTCAGGCTGGCCCAACCGGGCGGTGTGGTCAGCAAGGGGAGGGTTCCCACAATGCACTGGGTTACAGGTAGAAGAGGCAGATGCTACCTTTTGTGTAAAAACTGGCACAAAAGAAAGAGACAGACAGGAAGACAGAGATATCTGTGTGGCCAGACACCCTCCCTCCGCTCTGGGACCACAGAGAGGAGATGCGGTGGCCGGGAGGCCTCTGGCCGAGCAGGTGGACACTGAGGCCTGGCGCTGGCCGTGCACTTACGCCCGGTGTGCCTGCTGGGCAGGCGGCTGTGCAGGGGCTGGGCGTGGATGTAGAGGGCGCGGTAGAACTCCTGGCAGTCCCGCTCGCCGCTCCGCTGCAGGTGGCCCAGCAGGTCACAGAGCCGGAGGCGCAGGGATGCCCTGGGGTTCCGGAACTGGGGCATGAGGCACACAAAGGACAGTCAGGCCCTAAGCGGCCGCGCCCGCCCCTCCACCCCGCTGGCTCCAGCTCTCTCGTGGGAGGTGCCTCCGACCAGGGGCTCCGAACACCCCTGCAGAGAGCGACTGAACCACGGCCTCACGGTGCCAAGACTGTGCTGGGTCACAGCACGGCTAGTCCTCGCACTCCCGTGACATGGAAACCAGTCACCAAGGAAGGCGGCAGGGACATTATCCCTGTGGGAACCCAGCGGCCTGTTTGTGACTTCAGCAAACTGAAGACTCTGTTTGCTGGTGGTGAAAAGGGAGTGCTGAGCGCCCCCTGCAGGGCTGTTGAGGGAATCGCTGAGGTGATAGCATGACAACTTCTAGTGGTTTATCGTCTAGCAGTGGTCGGCAGAGCCAAATATCAACAGTACAACGACTGAAATTTCTTTTGAGAGCCAAATTTTTTAAACTTAAACTATATAGGTAGGTACATTGTTATTAACTTAATTAGGGTACTCCTAAGGCTTAGGAAGAGCCACACTCAAGGGGCCAAAGACCCGCATGTGGCTC